GCCGGCGAATACGCCGGCATTCTGCTGACGGGGGTGTGGGGGTGGTACGATGGTCAGATAGCTTGGGTTCGCCGAACCTAATGGCAATCCATTGTCGTACCGGAGCCTCCAGTCCAGGTACCATTTCCGGTTAGGATTGTCTTCCAGCCGGAGGTTAGCATAGCAACAACTCGCTTGGTTGTCGTTGCCCCATAGGCATTGACCGCAGGACTACGTTCCGTCCTGGGTCCACTGGAAGAACTTAGCTTCCATCCGATCGACGTAAGTCGCCAACTGGCGAGCCTCCTGCTGTGGTGTCCGAGGTGGCCGTTGAGCGTTCCGAGCCTGGCCGCCTCCACCCGCGCGGTTGCCGAAGTTTCCGCGGCCGCGATTCCCGCCGCCACGTCTTTCGCCGAAGCCACCATATTGTGAGGATCCACCGCGTCCATATCCACCTCCGGAGCCGTACGCCCGATTCTGAGGCTGGCCATAGCCGGGGCTCCGAGGCTGGCTGTAGCCCTGTTGGGGCTAGCCATAGCCGGAGTAACCCTGGCTCTGAGGTCAGCCGTAGCCGGGGCTCCGAGGCTGATTCGGTTGGCCACTACTTCCACAGCCAGGCGGCGTGACCATGGTCCTTGTTGGGGTCCCATTAAGATTCAACGCCGCCCAAGTCTGTTCGATCTGACCACGGGCTTGAGGGGGTGGTGTCGGGGGGCCGGAGGGCTCTGTCGGGGAAGCCCAGGTTGCACGTTCTGGTAACCTGGCGAATTTGGCTGGATGTATCCGGGGGCCAGTTGAGTCACGGGAATAGGCGTCGCCGTTCTGACGGTGATGTAATTAGTGGTGTTCCCGCCTTAAACTACCTGGTACATCGGCTTTCCCCGGGTGAAAACTTGAACGTAGTCCCGGAACTCCTGGGTCGTCTTTGGCATACGGACGTCTAGGGCCGTTCGAAGGTTCGGCTACGTTACGTTTGCCCGCAGTTAAAAGCCGCTAATTCGTCGGTTAGGCCGCCTCGTTGCTTGAGGTTAATGATGGCGTTTTAGTACTGCTTGGGGGTCTCTTGGCAGAACATGTGCTTCCTGTTGGTGATGTCCGCCACGGCTATGACCTTCTTATCGGTGTCCATGAACCGGACCGCGAATTGCTGCAGCCAGTATTCTACAGGCCATCCATTCTCGGGCTCTAGACCTGATTGGTTCTGGTACCAATCCAAGGCCTGTCCCGTGAGGGCGCCTTCGATCTCCGTCGTGAAGGCCACATCCGTCATACCGACGTCATCTGTCTCTGAACGGTAGATTCGCCGGATCTTGGTGATCCAGCCATCAACCTTCGCCCCGTCGCCATTGAATTTCGGCAACTCCGCTCGGGTTTTTCGAGCCAAAATCCGGTTATCCCGTTCTTCATACCGGCGTCGGCCTTCTTCATAGCCTTCGAGTCGGGCCTGAACGATGTCTTGTTCATCGGGTGGTGGGGTTTGACGGGGTTGAACCGGAGGGTTCCAGGCTGGTGCGTATGCTGCTTGATGGTTCTGTGCAGCTGGAGCAGGTTGAGGTGGGTTCGGTTGCGGTTGAGGATGCCGGGGGGTGCCGGACCACTGCCGGTTGTGGCTGTCCCGGTCCGGGAGAGTTCTGCGCTCCATATCCCTGGTTCGGCGGAAGATTTGGTGCCACATACCCGGGCATCCTCTGGAGGACTCTGTTCTGGTCGAGCCACATCCCAGGTGGTATAACCACATACTGGTCAGCCTGGGGCAACGGACCTATTGGGTCCAAGTTGCCTTGCCGGGGCTGATGAGGGACGTTGCCAACAACAGCGGGGCCAACCAGACCTATTGGGTCACGGTTATCTGACCGAGGCTGCTGTGGTCCATTATCTGGATAGCCGGGGTGTACCGGGTCAGCCCAATTGCGCTGCCCTGCCGATACCGGTTGTACTTGTATCCGCGGCGAGTACATATTCTGGGAGTTCGAACGTTGTCGATCCCGGTTGGAATTCCCCGAGTTAGGTTGTGAAGTTGCCACCGAGGGATTCGTCGGCGGTCTAAGTCCCCTGCCAGGTCCGGTTACCGGGGCTCGGGGGTTCGAGCCTCGGTTATCCTGGCCGGTCGAAGTTGACACTAAAGGCCTAGTTCCGGTTGAGAACATCGTTGTTGTGGATGTTCCTCCGTAGGCCGTGGTTGTCGTGGTAGTAGAATGGGTCGGTACGTTGGGGGTAGCCGTGGAAGTGTTTCGCTCCGGCTCCGGGGCTGACGGTATTACCGGCGCCCTCGGTATGGGTCCCATCGATGGTTCAGCCCAAAGCATCCCGACCTGGTAAACTTGTCCCGCGAGAGCCCCCGTTTGACCTGTTGGGTTCAGCAGGGGGTTGTCTCGGCGCAGGTAGTCATCAATTTGTTGACATTTATCTTGCTCTTGGGTAGTTCGGTAGCATGGAGGCTGCTCTGTCATTGACTCCTCGAGGTAAGTCTTTTCCTCCTTCAAGCACGCGACCTCAATGCCCAGGTCTTCTCGTTCCTGGAGCAGCTGATTGTGCTTATCGCACAGGTCACTGTATCTGTTGGATACATCCGTGCCGAAGTTATAGAGTTCCTGCTGGTACTTTAGGAGATGGCCCTTGTCCATCTCCCATTGGGTCTTCTCGGACTCTAACTGGGTTATCTGGGCTCGTTGAGCCTCAATGACTCCGAGGTTTTCAATACGAGCCTGTTCGAACCGGGCTGTTTCGTTCTGAAGGTGGGTGGACAGTGGACAGTGACTCACTATGGGCTTATAACATAGGGATTCTCCCCAAGATTCTGATTGGTCAATTTTTAATATGGTAAATCGGCCGTAGTCACGTCACAATTAATTTTCAATTTGAATTAATTATTTTTGCTGTGGGAAAATCGGCGAAAAATCCGGAAAAGTTAAAAAAAATTCTTTTTCACCGACCAAAATTTAATTTAGCCGGGGAAAATTAGTTCCGCTAATTTTCCAAAAATTTCTAAAGGTCATTAGCCGGGACTCCGAGGGTCTCCGGTAGTTAGGTAGGCTAACCCTATTTTTACCCTAAAAAGATGTTTCAAGGCCCGTTTGTCCGGGTAAAAATAAGCTTTAGCCGGCCAAAACTACTTTTGGTCCGGTAAAATGAAAGTTGCCCGGCTATATCGGGTCTTTAAAGGCTCTACACGGGTCACCGAGGGTCAGTCGACCCTATTTACCGGGTAAATCCGTGTGAATCCGCTTGTTCGTCCGGTGAATCCCGCGCTGGTAAAGTTGCGGGTGCCACTTAAGGCAAAGGCGACCCCGATTGATGGTGCTGAGAGGGTCCGCTGGATCCGTACCGTCCGTTCCGTCCGGGGATTCGCGGGAATCGCTATCAACCCGGGCAAAGTCCGCCTGAAGATTGTTTCCGCGAGGAACGTTCCGTCCACGCGCGAGAGGAGGGTTCGCTGAGGCTTTCTGCCCGCAAGAGAGACAAACGAGACCAGACCGTTCTGGCTGGTGGCAATGAGATGGGGATAGGAACCATCGGTTCTACCGTTCTGCCCTGTCTTTTCGTCGGCCGTTAACGGATGTAGTTCTACCCCGTGGTCTCAGACGTTCCGTAGAAGGAAGCAGCGAAAAGTATGGTGGATATCTCGATACCGGCCAGATACGAAACGAGCTGCAGCTGTGCACTAAGACGGGTTCTATAATTCTGGTAAGACATAACAGCATGCTCGATTTTAAGTTTTCTGTTACCTGTCACGTTCTGTTTTTTGTTGTAGCCTCTCCCCAAGCCCATTTTGCGCTACCGCTACACGCTGATCAACATAACACGCGTTGTAAACTTTTACCAATTCCAAAACCTCATGGAGCAAAGTCTCGTCCCTTTGGACACATATTTTCAGAGCGCTTTGCGTAGAGATGGCAACGGCTGGCTTAATGGCTTATCGGCTGGCTGCGGCTGGCTAAAATAGCGAGCCGGCTCGAAAGTATCGGCTCACCTACCTGAGCCGGCTCTAACGGCTCGGCTCTGAGCACGAGCCGGCTAAGCCGGCTCCGAGCCGGCTTAGCCGATAGTTTTTTAGCGCGGGAAAACACAAGTACTTTTTCACCAAAAAGCCTTTTTCCTGTTCTCTTTTAAGCAAAAACTGTTTTTGATCAGTTTTTATTGGAAAAAGAGGTCTCCGAAACAAAAATTCAGAACTTTTTTATAAGATCATCGATTTTTCAAGTCTCTAAATCGGCTTTGAACGGACCAAAAGAGCTAAAATTAAACTTTCCAACACATTTTCGCGCACAATGCGCAAGCCGTTAGCCGACATCGGCTTACGGCTGGCTCGCGGCTGGCTGAGACTCCGAGCCGGCTCAATCGGCTCGGCTAGCATCGGCTACGGCTTCAATTTTGGGTCGAGCCGGCTCAGCCGAAGCCGGCTTAGCCGCGGCTCAAACGGCTTCGGCTGAGCCGTTGCCATCTCTAGCTTTGCGAACAACAGCCATTACACGCACCGGAACAGAAGTTGATTTACCGCGAGGATTTGCAAATGATGTATACCAGAAATACACCTACTTGGAACTATACCGCCATTTTAATCTCCGGCACATCTTCCAGGTTATGAAAAATTACTTCAATCAATTTGTTCAATGCCCGCATTGTAGAAGCTGCTCGACTGTAATTGTCCGAAAAAGCGGAAAGTTATGCATGATCTGCTTATCATGTCAGGCTAATTCATTTGTTTGCAAACGTGTGTAAAAATTGAACTTTTCATGATGCAACGATCAAGGGAATCAACTAACGAATTCAACCGGGTACGTGCGGGGGAAACTTAGTTGACCAGCCGACTATTGTTAACAACGAAGGAAATGTTTTTTTTTCATCCGATGAAACCAAGAAATAAAAAACAAATGAACAAATACTCGAGTTCCGGAAATATTGTGCGCAAAGTAAGTTAATCAGGGTAAAAAATAACACAAATTGTGAAAACAAAAAAGCTCCAACGGTACGCAACGATATAACGCAAGAATCAACTTAAAAAACCAGTTCATTTTGAAAATCCCAATTTGGTATTACAACAAACGTTCGTGGGTATGGGCATGTACAATGCATCAGAAAAATACTTTTACAAAGCAGCTGATGTTGTCGTTACTGTGTCTGGCGCCGAATTTCTTTCACAAGCTCACGCCGACGTTTGAATTCTTCCCGCTGCGCTTCAAATTCATCGCTTGGACCTCCCTGTGCCCGAACTTCCAAGTCCATTTCGCGCCACGCTCGGATTCCATCTGCCAACTGACGCTCTCCTTCCGGTCCACTTGCCACAGTATCATACAGAATACTGGTCGAGAAGGCGGCCATGTGGGCGGGAAAGGTGGGATCGGTCACGCTCCTGCTCCACACAGCTTACAGTCTTCTGGTTCGTTCATCCATATTCTCCACAAAGTGAGCCATACTATCGTTAACGGCTTCCCGTTCTACAGATATTAACAAAACAAACAGTTGACCACTCACCACTGGGAAAAAATTTACGCCCGTAATAACTTCATACCTGTGTTGTTGTATCGTTCCGGGTCGATGGCGCTGTGATAAGAAGAATCCGATGGTGGGGTGCTTTCAGAAGCGTTTTCCAGAGAGAAATTTCCCGGGTGCTGATGCGGCTGTTCTCCGCGAGACAACACTGCCCGCATGGCGCTGACTCTTTCACCTAGGCGATTAATACTGTTGTCCAAGCGCAAATTTACATTTTCCCACACCTGATTGGGGTCAGTGGTGTTAAGGTCAGACCCCGACGCGTCTGCAAACGCCACTTATAAATATCAGTTGAACAAGCGTGCAATACAAAAGCTTAAGAGGCGTGCCGTATGCATGCGTACTTACCAGTATTTGAACGCGCTGGATGTTGAGGTGGAGCTGTTGGTGCAACGGATCCTGGTGGCCATGGGCCTCGAAGATTAGCGTTGGAGTTGAGGAATCCCAGAAATGTGGATGGTCGCGGAGGGTCAGCCGAGGGATGCGCCGGAGCGGATGGATTTCGAGGAATCCGAACCGCAAAAGGATCGGCAGTCCTGTATGCGTGCAGCCGTGCCATGCAGCACTGAAGTAAATTGTAGCGTGATGCTGCACATCTTAAGATAGCCAAAACGATCAGGACGATTCCCACAGCGATCCCGATTATACCAATGGTCTCCAGGCCTGCTGCACTGCTGTTATTATTGCTGTTGTTGTCGCCGTCATTGTCGTTGTCGCCACTGCTACGACCTAAAAAACAGGGCGGACATGGTTGACATGGCTGATGCTGCTGAGTAGTTGGATTAACAGCAACAACAACATCCTCCAAATCGTAGAAGCTGTCAGACATGTTGTGCTCTGGCCCCGAAATGTTAGCAACACTGACGTGGGTGCTAACTACAAACTGGATTTCTGTTGCGCCGGAAGTGTCCTCTTGATATGTCGTCGTCGTCGTCGTCGTCGTCGTCGTCGTCGTCGTCGTCGTCGTCGTCGTCGTCGTCGTCGTCGGTGACGGCGTGATCGTTGTCGTCGTCGTCGGTGACGGCGTGATCGTTGTCGTCGTGGTTGTACTCGTACTCTTACTCATTGGCGACGATGGCACAGCCGTGCTGACGATTGCGGTGCTGCCATTCTGAACCGTATGGGCAAATGCCAATAGACCAACAGTACTATTTGCGATTCGGAGAATGGGCGCCGCAGCAGCAGCAGCAGCAGTGGTATTTTGGGGGAAAATTGTTGTTGTTGACGGTGTGATAGCCATGCCGGTTGCCGCCGTATCCGATGATAACTCATCGTCGTACACAGCCGTGGTGGAGAGGGTGTTGTTTAGTGATTGAGATATATTTCCTGGTGATCTGCTGATGCTCATGCTGCTGCTCATATTGCTATCGATATAATTTAATGTTCCACCGGACTTTGTGGTGGTGGTGGTGGTGGTGGTGGTCAAAGAACGGACATTCAAATCAAATGGGGTGGAAGTGACAGGAGCATGAACAGAGTCGGAAATATTATATTGAAAAACAATGTAAGACATGAAAGCCGAATCTGATGTGCCACCACTGTTGCTGCTGTTGATCTCTTGCTTAATTGTACTAAATACTGCGGCGGGTGTTGCAATGGGTTCTTGCTCAATTTCTTTGATTGCGGCAGTCGCTGTTGTTGTGGTAGTGGTAGTGGTGGTGGTGATGGTGGTGGTGGGGACAGCTAGGTACAATAAAAACGGCAATAAATAACGGCCGTTTTATTGTAGCTTCTATCAGACGTGCTATAACAATGCACGAGTGTGCTTCTCCTTACCAGTAGCTGCGGTAGTAAAAGCACCGGGCGGATACGGCAGTGGCCTAAGCGTTGGAAACCCGGCTGGAGGAAAGCTGCTGGTGGACCACGGACAGCACGGGGGATATGCGCAACCATTACGTTTATCTACGAATATAAATTACTAATATATATTATCTATAAATTTGAATTCCTAATAATTACCTGGATAATTGTTGGTGCATAAACTAACCTTTGCCACATCGCGGAGCGATAATCTTTAAACCGAGTTTCTCCAAGCATTCCAGCTCGCGGCATTGGTAACCTTCAAAGATTGTGTTGACCAGGAAGATTAGCTGCAGATCCGGGAAGTTATGGGTTGGCGGCCAATTCGGGAGCACATTCACATCCGATCCTGTCATATCCAACATTTTTACACCTCTCACAACGACATGCGGTTTATTATCCAGCGGCCAGGTCATTGCACTGCTACTCGAACACTGCCAGATATTAGGCTTGCAGGTGCAGAAGTACGGACAAGCGGCGGCAGCGACGGCGGTGTTGGTAGCGACGATGGGATAATACTGACCGTAAACTACGCTGCAGACAGCAATTACACATATTACAGCCACAGCGCTGACTAATTTCAAAATCGCTGCCATCATTATGTATGCACGGTGGTTCGCATTAATTGCTTAAAATTACGGAGAATTATTGTGTTGGCACAGATGAAAAAGACAGCTAACAAATTAGTGAAATATTCTACCCTGGCAAATATAAACCCAGCTGCAAAATAAACTGAATACTCCGATAATCAAATTATGAGATGACTGGGTTAGCTGTCCGCGTTGCATCTTACCTTATCGAGCTTGCTTTCACTCTTTGAGTTGTTATTTCTGACAGAGAAAAAAATTATCAGGAGAATTTAGACGATGCCATTACTGCAGCAAAGCAACAGTTCTAGCCAGTGTAGTGCAATGAATTGTTTACGCTTCACTGCGCTGATAACAGCCATGGGAACGCAAGCTAAATGGCTATTTTCTAATTTTTTTCACGCATGCAACATTTTTACTTATCACTGCGCTGCAGTGCATTGCACAGGAAAATCAAATGAACGCTGACCAAATAGGAAGTGCAGCCGCACCAGCAGCTGCGACTTTGCACACGGCCCGCAGTCTTCCTCAGACAGCATGCCTGTGTGATCACCGAGCTGCATCAGCAACAGCAGCAGTAGGTCATCCACTTCACAACTTGACACTTCTGCTTGGAGTAGAGTGCAGTTGTAGAGTGCAATTAATAATATTAACCCTAAACGGCTAGTACATTGATGAAGAATGATTAATTACCGACCACTTGCGTTTTTGCGTTTTTGTAATTAGCGATCCATTATACGATATACCGTACAGTACTGTAATCATACATTGCGTTATATCAATACATCCTATGAATAATAAATAAGATTTAATGAGAATTTTTTTGCTTATATTATACAATCGATCTTTGTAATTATTTTTTTGAATTAATCACTCATGGGTATGCATAGCATAGTCTTACTATTGCATCCAGCAAAGTGATGAAACAAGTACTTATTTAACTGGCCACAATACTATTAAGTATGATACTTATGGCAGTTGGCATTCACACGCACATACATACAGCTGGTAAAATTTTAACATACAAAGTGATACGGGAATTGGGCAAAGGCAGACTGGCGAGGTGAGGCCTAGTGGCTAGGGCAGTATCGCCCCCCTCTATATTAAGCAGCGCCCTGTGCGTACCCGAGGGGTGGTGCGCCGGGCGCCAGAATGATCACCTATCATTACACGTCCTTCGTCCAACCGACGACTACGAACGTGCAAGTCCTACTTTGGTGCGACTACCTCCACTCCAAGTTTACCTTCATCTCGAAGCCAAACAAAGAAATCGTTTGGGACGCGGTAAAGTCTATCCCGATACCAGAGGCACCGGGATCCGACAATGAAGTAACGATAAATCGGATTGATCACCCGACCACATAAGCTTCTACCTATTCGGAATTCCTGGATACCATTGAAGGCTTCATCTTGAAACCGCGCGTCCATAACGCCATTGAACGGCACGTTACCTAATTCCGCGCTGGCATGCTCAAGCTAACTCACGGGATAGTAAAGACTATCCCGATACCAGAGGCACAACGCCCAGTGCCCAATGAAGAAATTAAGGAGCAACTGGTCCAGCAATACAAGATATGGTTAACGGGGGTCAGAAATTTCCTCTTATACCGTGCTGACCAACTGGCCATTGAACAGACTTACCAAAAAGTGGTAGGTGAACCAGCAGACTGGCAAGCTGGACGCAAAATCTGTAACATTTGTGGAGACCATAGAAGAACTCGAAGAGGAAGAAAAACTCGAAGAGGAAGGAATACTCTGGGAAGACGAACGGGTAGCCCTGTGGTGGGAATACAAAGAGTACCATATGAAAATCCCTCGACGACTAAACAAAATGTGCTCAGACCTCTTCGACGCCACAATTCAATTGAAACGATTTATGGCCAAAAATCCTGGTGCAACCACCACCATATGGACAAGGTATGACCAGGACCTGCTTAACGTCAGGACCATACCGGAATCATTGCTTGAAGTAGCACCGCACATAGCGACAGGAGTGCGCTTCAATGATGGTCCACATCAGAACAGGGAGATCAAAGGAGGGATACCAGCAACCAAACGCAGGACCCTTCACCAGAGGCTGTCCAACTGAAATGTCCTCTGTGTGGAGACGACGTTGAAGCGGTAATACCGGCCATATAGACCCGTGCCGCCCAACGGTGGACAGGAGGCCGACCAGCCTCACCACTCCCTAACGAGGACCGTCTAACCGCTTTGGCTGAACCGGACGAACCTAAGAATCAGAAAATCGCGACCGGAACGCCAGGGAACCGAGAAGCGGATCCCATGACCGAACCGGCACCTACGGTGACCGAAGACGCGCCAGCCTCTACCGAGGCCAACGGCGAGCCAACCGTAGAGCAGGACGACAAACCCGAGTCCACCGATTCGGACGTCCAAAGCTCAAGCGACTCACCAGACACTAACTCCGACAACCAGTCGTCTGAAGAGTCCAGTGATGACGAAGATGTCCCAGCCTTTCTCCAACTCAGAGCCGGGGCACTGGTAATCCGCAAACTGCAGACCGAACTTTATACAGCTGGCAGAAACTGTTAAACCAGGCCGTCGTACTCTTCGCCGACAGCGGAAAGATGAGCAAAAAGCCCTGCGCAAAAGGTTACGCGAGCGGACACTGGCACCACCCAAATAACGATCCCTCAAGCGCTGAGAATCGGCAACCTGACCAGAGACGCCGAGGATATTGATCGTCGTATGCCCAACCGCACACGGGACTTCAGCGGGCTCAGCCCTTTTGACCCAGAAGTGGCCCGGCTGACCCAACAGCAGCAGAGATTATTCCATCGGATAGCTCTACTCAAGAAACTTACCCAGAATAGTACGATGCCTACCGGCGAATCGCTAAATGTTCTAGACTACACCCACAAATGGCTTTTAGAATTTATCGAAAATTACTTTAAGGTCCACCGACCCGGCCCTTTAACGGCAGAACGCCCCGGTGACTTTGATCTAGTTAACGAACGGCGACCAGACTCAGTGGCAACGGCAACGGCGCCAGCCACCATGCATGCACCGGTCGCCTCAGTACCAGTGGACCCAACTTTGGTCCCAGTACCAACAGTGGCCTCAGCACCAAGCGTTCCTGCGCCAACATCAAGTCAACCTGCGGATACTGTCGGACCCGCCACCGCGGACAACAGAACGGAGACTCCACCGCAGGATATCGAAATGGAAGTGAGCTTGCTCGACAAAACCCTTGAGCTTGCGCCGGAGAAGCCGGCCCAACTTTAGTCGGCACCAGCCCAACCGACTGGTGCACCGACAAGTCCTATGGTCGTGGATGAGCCCACCGCATCATCGCAGACCACGACACGCCAAGACAAATTGAAGGCGATACATCAGAGGCACATCGTCCGGTAAACGGCTAGGATATCGACCAGAGATAAGCCCGTCACAGAAAGAATGGCCACACCAGCCACAACTGGTGGCCCAGAGTCGCCCAGATTCAGAAAAAGGAGGAGGACTCCCCAGAACCGGAGGAGTGTGGCGTAGTATAGCAACCATGTTGCTAGCGTATGGTCATCAGTGTGAGACCATCAGTGTGTGTTGGGTCGAGCGGCAGTAAAGTACTAAGACGTGACAGTGGCGTGAAGGTACGACTAGTGTGATACTCCGCGTAGTAGAAATGCCCAGTACGGGTAATGTGACTGCTTCTACGGCTTCCGCAGCGCCCCGTGAGGAGAATGGTGGATCTGGTCTTCTGCGGTTTGAACCTGCGGTCATGACGTGGAGGTCATGGCAGTTTCGATACCGCAACTACATTAAGTTAAGGAAGGTCACGGACACTGACGAACAGAAGGCCATCCTGCTGGACGCCTTGGGCGTACCTGCCGCGTGACCCGGACGATTACACCAGTGCTCAGATTGTGGACAAACTGGAGCAGGCATAGGTCCGGAAGACCAACGCGACAGTAGAGTGGGCGATGTATTTCCAGTTGCGTCAGGAGGCCGGGGATACATTGTTGGAGTTTTCCAACAAGCTGCGCCGAAAGGCCATCAGCTGCGGGTTCCCAGCGGACGTGCTGGAAAAGAACATGTCGTCGACATTCCTGAACGGTGTGGCCAGCGATGCCACGCGTCAGCACCTCATGACCAAGGATTTCACGACGCTTGAAAAAGCCCTGGAGATGGCCAAGACAACCAATACGAGCTGGCCAAGACCACCAAGCGAGGCCAGGCGTCCACGGAAGTGGCTGACGTAGCCATCGTGCGCACGAAAGCAGAAGGGCGTGGCCAAGGTCGCAGTCAAGGTCAACTAGGCCGAGCTGAGGGAAGAAGCGACGGCACAGGCGGAAGCCGCAGGAGAGGCGGTGGGCGAGATGAAGGGAGCAGCCCGGACGAACGCGGCAGCAATTCTGCTGACAATGGTCGACTGCGCGGGGAGGCGCAGGGTGTTATTCCTGTGGCGATGTGGACCACAGAAAGGCGGACTGCTGGGCGAAAGATGTCCGGTGTGGCAACTGTGGCAAACGAGGCTACATTGCTAGGATGTGCCGCTCTGAGCCTAAAGAGCGGGAACAGCACCAAGGCGGGAGGCGAACAATGCTCATCAACGAAGAGTTTGATGTCATGGGCATCAACATCGCCCCGGAGAGCACAGACGACTCGCTGGACTCTGTGTGGTGCGTGTTAGATACCGTAAGCAGGCAGCTGAATGAACTAGTGGAACGGTGCCGTGCGCTGGAGCAGCGGGATGGCAGAAATTCCGCAAACGAAGGTTCCCAGATGGATCAGGCAGAAGTGTTGTTTGTGAGTGACACAACCGCCTACGGGCGCATGGCGGACGGAACCGAAGAACGGAGAAATAGCGGTACGGCGTACGGGGACGGAATCAGCTGTAGTGCACGACCAAGTCAAAGCCAGTGCGAGGCGATAGTTGCTGTTGCGGACGCCGAGGCCGAGCCGGAAATCACTTCGGAGGTGATTGGGAAGCGTAAGAAAGCGAAGCGCAAGAAACGGAAATAAGCACTACCTTGGACTTGCCAGTGGAGGAACCGAAAACCATTCATATTCGTGAATATTCTTTTTTTTAATGTTATTAATGTCGATTCTGCAAGTATTTTCTATTTTTTTGTGAGTGGGTTCCCCACTGGGGGGAGATGTGGCGTAGTATAGCAACCATGTTGCTAGCGTATGGTCATCAGTGTGGGACCATCAGTGTGTGTTGGGTCGAGCTGCAGTAGCCTCCTTCACAACAGTCACTCCCTGCTTGGAGAGGACAACCATTGGACTTAGAACTTCCTGGCCCAACCAGGCCCGGACCACATAAACTTAAACCTTCGACCGACCAGCCAACTTTGGTGCTTTGGGGCCTACCGGCCAAAAAGAAGTCACCACCCAAGAAATCCCTGGAAAAGGACATGTG